GCATATTTCTCAAATAGCATCTGAATGTATAGCATCACACGATAGTGGCAGCGTTGGCATACAAGATCCTAAATGTTTGAAGAGAAAGGGCGCTCCTAAGAAACTTCGTAAGAAGTTCCCATTGGAGTCGAGTTCGAGTAAAGCGAAAGTATGATCCAATTTGATTTTGCCAATTACATTAGGTTTTCTGAATACATATAAGGGATAATAATGGTATATCATTTTACACAGGCAACTTCTATTTCAACAAAAGGAAAGAGACCCAAGGCACGCCCAAGTAATATGGGAGACGGTGCAATAGTCCTTCAGACAGCTCAACAAGCACAACTACAGATGTCGATACCGTTATCTTATTCACAAATCCTAATGGTTAGTATATTTGTATGATGAAATTTCGTAATGAAAGTATACTTGTTATTGATAATGTCATTTTATGTAGGTTGGCAACCAAAGTCTTGAGTTTACGCAACACTTACCATCATCCAACTCGATCCCACCGGAGTCAAGAAATGTTACATTCAATGCTCAAGGTAAATGACATGGTACAATCTATGTAGTTTTAAGATTTTTTTTCCTGCTATTGTGTGTTAATGTTTATAGTGTACAGTATGTAATGCAATGCCGTACTATGTGCCACAATTGCCGGACAACGATGGCGCAAATCTATAATCTTGGAATAACAAAAGTTGGAGATAAATTTTAGGTAACTATAAATGAATTTATTTGTAGCTTGTAAAATGAGCTTACAAATTATTCTGCATCTACCAATTCTTCTGTCGAATGTTTGTCTCATATCATGCCCTTTGCTATAGGTATTGGACTGGAGATGTAAGCCCTATTCAATAGGAGAGTCGACGAGTTTGCTACTTGGGTCTTGCAATTCCAGGCAGCTGGGTCTGCCATTCTATTTGCTTTGTTATGTGTAGTTAAACTTATGGTTTGAAGTTAGGACTCTATTTGCTTTTTATGCGTATTACAACTTTTCATTTTGAAGTCAGGATTGGTTGTACAATTGATAACAAATGGAAATGGCCACTATTGAATGCAACAATCCTTAATTTGCACTATAATCATTTTTGTGTTGTATGAGTTAAGCTGCTTCAAGATTATTCATAGCATATGGACAACTAAATTTTACCATAGCAATAATTTATCGACATAAATCCTGAACTCTAGTTTTCATTAAGCTTAATTTTGACTTTAACATGATTAAAGAGCAAAGTCATTATCCATTACATACTAATCACACTACCGAGCCATAAAAAACACAAGTGAAATAACATCATCGGTACATTAACAACTACAAACTCAAGCATGTCCGTTTCCTTTCTTATCCCCTTCCGCACTTGTTCTTTCTTTGCATACTGTCAAGTGCACAGAAATCTCCATGTCATGTTCATCAGTTAAAAGACATAGAGTTTCAAACATGCAGGAGAGTTCTTTAGTTGAACTTGATTCACCACTCGTTTCAATGGCTCGAACCCACTCCGATATCCACATTTTGCACTACAAGAATTGAAAAGTATACCTACATCAATGAATGGGACTCAACCACAATAGATCGAATGTCAATAATCCGCAATAAATAATGAAAAAAATACCTACAACACTATAACATATGGGTAATCTGAAAAATACCATAAACATCATCATACTTTGATTTCATGGCCCTTATAAAGCACGAAGCATATGTAGTACCGAACCAAAAAAAAACCAATCGACTGATAACGAGGTGCAATTCACAGGCAACAATACTTTGGCAAAATTGAACTCAGACTTTTCTTCAGAATGTGTGTATCAAAAATAAATAAATAAAAATCAAAATAACAATTTCAGTTGTTCAAATGCAGGATTCTCCATCTTCATCTTTCATGTTTGCAAGATTCAACCAACAATTTAAGTCGCAAGAAACACAGATAAAATCTTAAATAATCCCACAATATCGCACCACCATCATCATCACCTTCCAATGTCTCACCCATGAATCTTAAAATAGATCCGACAGATTCGGATTTTCCGAAAACAATCCACCAAATCAAATTTATTGTGTTACAGGTTAAAATTTGAATTCTTGCAAAGACATCCACACCCACGTAAATCGAACACCGTACTTACTTCCGTTTGCTGACTATTCTTCAGGAGAAATCCACAATAGCCTAAATCAAACACCATACAAATTTGAATTTTTGAAAAGAAATCCACGAACGAAAAAAGATCGAAAGCCAATCCAAAGCAAGAAACTTCGAATATTCTTATGCAAATTTTCTTGTGCAGTGAATATAGCCGATCAGAGAGTGCTGCCAAAAGTTGGAAAAAGTGGAAAGGGTTTTTGAATGAATNAAAAGGTGGAAAAAGTGGAAAGGGTTTTTGAATGAATTGGGGAAAAGTGGAGAATTTAAAAATGAAATGGCAGGTGGAATGGCAGAAACTTTTAAATGGGTTTGGGCCGGTTTTATACTTTAAGTAAATAAACTCCACGTCATTTGGTCAGCCTCTATGTCAAAGGCTATGTTCATGTAGCTTAATTGAATTAATTTCTCTACAAAAATGAAAAAAAAATCCAAATGTGATATATATTGCAAAAAATAGGGATAAATAATGTTGAGTTGGTCTCGAGTAAAGAGTGAAAGCAAGTAGCTTTAATTCATGTTTTAAGAAAAATGAATTGGACGGTTTGACAAAAGTTCATAAATATATTTTATGTATTTAACCAATTATATTTTATATTTTTATATCGACTAAGAAATGATTTTTTTTATTTGGTAAATATTAAAATTCAATTAAAATTGAAAATATAGTCGTTATTGGGTCTCACTCGTCTAATAAATGTCAACAATAACGATTAATTTTTCAATTTTAATCTAATTTTAATCCCTACCGAACACGCACTTAATTTAGAATTAAGGAAAGGAAACTGCATTGCAGATTCGAATATGTTATTTATTTATTTTTTGTTGAATAATATATCTGACTTGTATAGGAGATACTTTTTCAAAAATACTTTTCTAAACTTACCTTTCAATCAAACATAGTAAAAATAATAATTTTGCTTCTAAGTTTTTCTCCAAACAAACTCTTAGCTACTGTTTGGCTCATATCTTTTAAAACTCATTTTTCAATTATCTATTTCTTGAGATTTATAATTTTTATCAATTTTAAATCGTACATTTATTCAATTTTTATCAAAATCCTTTTAAGAATTTAATTTTTATTTAAACTAAACGAAAACTTAGTTAGCAATCCTGGACGAGACTCTCTTTTTGTAAGGCAAAGCACTGGCAGAAGATTTTGCCTCTGTTTGGCTGTTTGAGCTCCATTTTGTTGTGAAAATGAGTTTTATAATAGTGATTTTTCGGAGTATGTGTGGTTGAAAAGTATATTTTTTTTTATTTATATATAAAATTATTTTATTTGAGAGAATGTATCGTTAAAATTGAATTTGAGAGAAAATAAGGGGTCGTTCTTTTTGTATTTCAGTTTTTAGTTTTGAATTCATTTTGAATTTTTGTTTTTGAGTGTCCATTTTGAAATTGTTGAAAATGCCTTCTTTTTGTCATTTAGAGAAATTGTTTTCAAAAAAAAAAAAAATAAAGTTTTGGCTTGGTTTAACTGAAAACAGTAAAAACAATTTTTTTGGTATTTTCTGTTTTCTTTATAAATTTTAAACTCGTTTTTGAAAATTCGTTTCTGAAAATATGTAAGTAAGCCTGTTTTCAGTGTTTTCGAAAATTGAAAACTGAAAATGACTTGAAAATATCAAAGAGAACATGCCCTTAGGTTTTTTAAGAAAATGTGAAGAAGTCTCCTTTGAGTGGTACGGTCGTTTTGTAAAAGTTTTGCAATGTATTAGCATAAGTTTACATAATTTTATATACAAGAAATACTGAAAAACTCGTTTTTGCAAGCTTTTCTTGCCTTACTCAAAAAGGGTCTAATTGGAGTACCCATATTCGACTAAATTGTATAATCGTGTTACTATCATTTTCCACTGCGACGATAAAGAGTAATGAAATGTACTTTACTTACAAAATTGCTCCACAAAATATATACAAATCTCACGTTCAATTCTCAAATTTCTCCGAGTAAACAAGATATGGACATAACAAGAACTATTCCCGACTTCTCAGCTGATGAAATAATTTTGTATATGAGTTGAGTTGGTAGATTGTTGATGTGTTGTAGGATGCGTCTTTTTAATATATTAATGCCTCTTTTTAATTTAAAATTATAATTGATAATATAATTTCTTCAAATAATTAATATATAATTTTTGAACACTTATTAATGTATAATATCATTAAAATGAAATTAGGATTTCAAGAGTATTGGTCTTTATTAAATAATAAAACTTTTCAGAGTATTCCCATGGCATTTTTTGCAATTTTCTTTTTCAAAAGTTATCTTGAAATCAATTGTAGGTCTAAAACAAGATAAAGATACCAACTGGTACCATTCCCAAGTTAGTACTTTAAACGACATCGTCGTACCTCGAAAGATGTGACCGTTGGCCTTTCGTTTTTAAAATCCGTAAATGTCCTTCCCCTTCCTGTGGCAGACAGTTCCTCCAATTATTACAAGAATCATGCTACACAATACGTTTGACAGAATTTTTGACACTTACCCAATTTGATTATGTGAATCGCGTTTATTATAAGCATCGAAACAGAAGGGGAGAGGACCCAGCCGGGCACTCAGTGCTCTGTGCCAAGGATTTGTCCGTTCTCTCTTTTTCCTATTAAGCATCATCATTTCTTGCTCCTCTGCCATTAATATTTTTTCCGAAACAGAAGGAAAAATCTCGATATTTATCTACAGAATACATGTATTGTATTTATTATGTATATATCACCATCTTCCAAGTGCTAGCAAGAATTATACATACGTGTAGTAGTTTACATATATAATCGTGTGTCTGTGTGTGAATCCCTTGAAATCATTTTGATTCAAGCATTAAAAACTGAAAAAAGGTAGAAAAAAAGCAGAAGTTTGAATGTGTGAAAATGGGGTGTGCACAATCAAGAATAGACAATGAAGAATCAGTTTTAAGATGCAAAGAAAGAAGGAATCTGATGAAAGAGGCTGTTTCTGCAAGAAATGCATTTGCTTCCGCTCAGTCGGGCTACGCCGTATCCCTCAAAAACACCGGCGCTGCCTTGAGCGATTACTCTGTCGACGAGGTGCCGCCGCCGCCACCAGCCATGGCGGTGGGGCCCGGAGACCCAGCTGTTACGGAGAGACCCCCGCCGCCGCCTTCTATGGTGGAGTCCAGTCTGCCTCCTCCTCCGCCACCACTCCCGAGCTTTTCCCCTCTCCCGCCAATTCAGCGTTCCATGACTATGCCTGCTGCGCTCTCTTACTCGGAGAAAATGAAGGGTATTGCTATCGATGAGAGTGATGAAGAAGAGGAGAAAGAAGGGCTTAATAGGAGGGAAAAAGGAGTTGAAGAGGCGGGCCCCGAGACCCCTATAAGAACCCCTAATCCGCCCCCGCTACCGGACCTTAATGGCGTGGCATGGGATTATTTTTTCATGGGGGACAATATGCCCGGTCAGTCATTAGACGAGGTGGGAGAAGAAGACGACGAGGAGGAGCATTATATGGAAGGACAAAAGGGCAATGAAAATGGGAATTTCGATAATGTAGATAACAATAACATGGAGTTCAAGACGCCGGAGAAAAATGTGGGATTTTCGGGAGTTGAGGAGTTTAAGACGCCTGAGGAGATGCCGGTGAATGAGGGAAAGGAGAAGCAATTCACACATTCCAACACAGCACCACATGGGATGAGTAGAGGGATTAGTAGTGGGAACATGGTACGAAATAGAAATAGTGTCGATTTGTCAAAGATTTTGGGTATGATTGATGATCATTTCCTTAAGGCTTCCCAAAGTGCACAAGAGGTGTCGAAGATGCTGGAGGCCACCCGGTTGCATTACCATTCTAATTTTGCAGATAATCGAGGTGACAATATCATTTTACCGTTTTAGCAGAGAACAATAGCTTTTTGATTTGAGTTCTTGTGTGATATGTGTTGTCCATGTGTTTTGTCTGAATGCGCCTAACATTTAAGATTTTTGGTTAGTTGTAAATGTGGTTCTTTGTTCGAAATTGAATTTGCATTTACAAGAGGGGTTTACATTGAATCTTAAAACACAAAATATGCATTTGGGAAACTATTTGTTCTCATAACGTGTGCCTTAATGTAGTATGAATTATTTAAGATATTAAAGTAAAGAAATTGCATTCACAAAAGGCTTTTTTCCTATTACTCATGAGTGTATGTATATGAAAATAATTCATTTTTGCAGCAATTTATAGCCACTAACTTTGAGCTGGTTAGCAACTAAGTTTGTTTCGATTCAATTTGTAGAGATTATAATCTAATAGTACTGTATTAAAAATTTGCGAATGGAATAGATTCTATTCTGTTCGTCCACATAATGACATTTCACATAATTTATTAGCCAATTAATAGATAAACTTATAACTGCTGGGCAATCCAGCATTTGGGATTCAAATGAGCTTACATGTATGAGCTTGAATTTCTTGTGTAAAGTTTGAATCTTTGTTACTCTTGTTATCATTCGTATTTTTCATTCATCAAGATTTTTCTCAACAGGCATACAGAATGTTAGATACTTGTTCAAAACTTGTAGCCTAAACAGTTTATGATTTGACTTGGATCAAGCATCATGATAGAGTTCTATATAGGAGTAATGTTTCTTCCCACCGTCACCCAACTGGAAAGCGAGCGATCACAATATTAAAAACCATATTTGTTTTTTCTCAATGGGTGTTTTGAGCTAGAAATGCTATTCTAGTTATGACCCTGTTATTAGTTCTTTTTTCATTAAGCCCATGTTTGTCTCCCATTATTTCAAAACTCATTTTTCTATATACTCATTTTCAACTACACATTCACACAATAAAATATTCTACACGTAAATCCAAAACTTTTTCATATTTTTTAACCACACGTTCTCCAAAAATTCATTATTCAAAACCATGTTTTCCCCAAAAAATTGGCCACCAAACCGGGGCTAAATGAATGTGCAGCAGAAGATTTCTATTTCCATCTGAAGTTTTAAAATGTTTGCCTAATCTCTTGACTTATTGAGGCAAAACCATATTCAGTTAATAGATCCTCTGCCAGTTCTCTTACATATTGATAAATATTGTTTCTTATTTTTAGGGCACATTGACCACACAGCAAGGGTCATGCAAGTTATTACATGGAACAAGTCTTTCAGAGGCGTACCAAATGGTGATGACACAAAGAATAACTTGGATGCAGAAGATTATGAGACACATGCCACTATTTTGGATAAATTGCTAGCATGGGAGAAAAAGCTATATGAAGAAGTGAAGGTGCATTACATTCTCTTAGAATTATGAGTATCATTTTCTATATGTGTTTTCACTTTATCTGAGATCGAGAAGACTGCCTAAATTAGATTCCTTCATATAGCATATGAAACTAGGGCCACACAATACAATATTCTTGTGTTGTAATTCCATATAGCACCATTTGAATTTGTTGCTTCAGTGAATAAAATTTTCTTTGACAAAAAAAAAATTGGTTGCTGCTGTGTCGTAACTATTCTAGTTGTGGCATCCAAGCCTGGATTCATCCTTAGGAATGGCCATGTTTATATATATGTTTAATTGATATTGAATTTGTTGCATCAGGGAATAAAATTTTCTTCGACAAAAAAAATTGGTTAGCTACTGTGTCGTAACCATTCTAGTTGTGGCATGCAAGCCTGGATTCTTCCTTGGGCATGGCCATGTTTATATATATGGTTAATTGATACCATTTGTTGTTTTTGTGCATTGATAGGCCAGTGAACTTATGAAACTCGAGTATCAGAGGAAAGTTTCAGCGTTGAACAAGCTGAAAAAACGCAGTGCTAGTCCTGAACAGTTGGAGAAAGCAAAAGCTGCTGTTACTCATTTGCATACACAGTATATAGTCGACTGGCAATCTTTGGATTCAACTGTATTAGAAGTGAATGATATACGTGACAACCAGTTGTATCCAAAACTTGTTGCTCTCGTTCATGGGTAAGTTTCTGTTTTGATTCATCCTTAGTTCTAAACTATATCTATTGATTTTTATGACAGGTCATTGTAAGCTAATTTCTTGCCCCATCAACAATGAGGCTGTGGGCATTGCCATAGTATGTTAGTCATCTCTAGACAGTATTTCCCATTTGACTATTTTGCGTTTTCTTATTCTGACCTAGAGATTCTTTGCCATACTCTGAACAATATCTTATATGTAATCCAAATATTTGAAATTTAAATCATTAAATCATGTCAGTGAAACTTTCTTTGAGTGCTTGAATTTATATTCTTGACTTACCATTATGATCTCTCTCTCTCTCTCTCTCTCTCATGCGTTCTGCATTAATCAAATGCACCATAATATGATTTACATACCATAAGTTTAAGAGTAATAATCCTACAAGAAACCTGACTTGATTTTCTTGTTCATATTTTACTGTGTAATGCTCTTCCCCTTCTACCAGGTCCTGCCTTCCTCGTCCATGTTGATCAGATTTTCTGCAAAAAATGTTATCCAGAGGAAAAAAATCTTACCATACATAGAACTACGTGTTGTATACTTGAAGTCTCAAACTCATAATCTCGTGATTTAGAAAACAAACAATTTTTTGGTAAAAAAAGTCATTTCTTCTTTCGGGGATTGCTGTTGTTTGAATTTCTCAATCACGTATACATAGGTTTCATTGATTTCTCTTAAATCCAAATACAGGATGAAACCTTTATATTGCTTTCTGCATCACACTGCTGATATCATCATATTAGCTTAAAATCCCTTTTTGCTGCTGAAATGTATTCATATCAAATATCTTTGCAATGGATTCATCTGTTAGATGTTTTCAGTGTTTTCTCTTTTATTATGCCTTGATTATTATTTTACTATATTGAAGGATGGCAGAAATGTGGAAATCCATGTGCACACATCACCACAGCCAGCTGAACATTGTTGCCGAACTCAAACCCCTTGAAATTTCTGGAACTCTCATTGAAACGAGCAAACATCGTCATGAGCGTACAATCCAGCTTTGGAATGTTGTACAGGAATGGCTTTCACAATTTGAAAAGCTCGTTACTAATCAAAGGCAATACATCCAAGCCCTTAATAGCTGGCTGAAGTTAAATCTTATCCCGATTGAGAGCAGCTTAAAAGAAAAAATCTCATCACCCCCAAGAGTTCAGAACCCTTCAATCCAGCCTCTCCTCCATTCTTGGCACGACCAACTCGAGAAGCTTCCAGATGAGGTTGCCAAAAGCGCGATTTCTTCCTTTGCTGCTGTGATAAAGACCATTATTGACCATCAGGAGGAAGAAATGAAGCTAAAGGAGAAGTACGAAGAAACCAGAAAAGAGTACATGCGAAAAAACCAGGCATTCCAAGAATGGTATCAAAAGTACAGCATGCAGCATAGAACCCCAGACGAGACTGACCCGGAGAAAACCGTGAGCTCCAACACCAAGGACCCCCTTTCGGAGAGACTGTTTGTGGTAGAAAGCTTGAAAAAGAGGTTGGAAGAGGAAATGGAAGATCATCAGAAGATCTGTATTCAAGTGAGGGAGAAGTCACTTGGAAGTTTAAAAATCCGGTTGCCTGAGTTTTTCCGAGCTATGTCTGACTATGCTCATGCGTGTTTTGATTCTTACGAAAGACTGAGAGTGCTTACACAATCGCAGCATCATGTGAACCGGGGTTCATAGAGCTGGTTTCCCTTTACATGGTGGACTACACAGTTTGTTCGCAGGGGATTGTTTTCTTATCTACCAAGTGTGTGCAACTCAAGGGAGAAGATCTTGCTAGCTTGTAGTATACTCCCATTTATAGTTTTCACTTGTGAACTCATCTTATTGGTGGATTGGGTAGTTTGTGTAAAGTTGAGCTGGTTCAACTTGGCCCACTGTAAGTAGGGATGAGGCTGGCGACTTCATACCTTGTAGAGGTTGCCAGGCTCGACCTCCCTACGGTCTGTTGCAGGGTTAACAAGGGCCAAAGTGACTAGATTTCTAATGGATATAATTCCTTAAAGAAAAAAAAATTTATTTTCCTGTCTAATTTTATTGGAGCACGTGGGGAGTATTAAAAAATTTCATTTGTTTCGGACTGTCTCTGTGAAATGTGCAGTTGGAAGTTTGCACTATGTTGACCTCTAATTCGAATACAAGATTTCATATTCAAAACCACATTGAGAGTGACAAGAAAACTCGTATTAGATTAGAATTACTTTCGATATTTGAATTCAGCATTATCTTAATTCAATTCATATCAGACGTAATAATTAATTTCTTCAGGAAAGTGCTACAAAACTGCATGTGCTTCTCCACTCCATACTACCCTTGCATGGCGCTTCTAATTATTACGATCATATCTTTTTAATTATGTTTTTTTTGCAATATGTTGTTATTTCTATTTCATATATTAATTTGTTCATAACTCAGTGACGAGCGCATACATTTTGAATTAGATGGCACAATCAAACATGTAAAAATTGAGATGAAAATCAAAATTAGCACATTTACCCTTGCTACATTTCTTCCTCAAACTTCAATCTTCCTTGTCTCTACCTCTCTATCAATATGCTTATATGTCTTTATTATTTAATATTTAAATCTCAATGAGATCACGTGTATGGAAGACTTAAAATGAAATCAACATCATGTATGGCGATATAAAGGCTACTTGTTTTTGGGCCTAATATAAATTGCAAAGTAGTATGGTGATGTCTTTCCTAAGTTCAGCGTGGACAACTGCAAATGAAATCCTTTCTACAAGAAGGGGATTGAAAGAATAAATAAATCACAATACTTCTCGAAAAGCATCACTTATCACGGTCCCTACATCTATCAATCAAATCAAAAGATGTTCAAAATTATGAGTTATATCTTTTCTGTTAAAACACTAATCTTAACATCAATGATCAAGTATTTCGATTATCCAACCGCATAAATATTAAATTATTGCGATTAGATTAAAACACTTACCCTAGCAAATGCATTGAGGAAATACCTGCAAATGGCCGAAAAAAAAGACCATATTTCATATATGGCCTTTGACCAGTAAACATGTAAAAAAAAACTTAAAAGTATAACTTTAGACAAGTTAAAGTCAAAAATACCCTCATTTTCTCTTCACAAGAAAACTGACAGTCCCATTTTTTAATTATTAATCCGACCCTTCTATTAACAAAAATGGTCTGTTAATAGGCCAAATTACAGACCAAATTTGGCCTGTTAACAGACCATTTGCATTTGGTCTGTTAACTGACCAAAATATTATTTTTTTTACGTGTTATCAATTTTTTTTTCATTTTAGCCCCTATTTGATCCACATTATTTTTTTATTTTTATTCTTCCACTCATTTTCAACTACACATTTTTCAATAAAATAATATTTTCCATTACATCAATAACTTTTCCTTATTTTTCAACCACATATTCCCCATCACATCACTTCAAAAAAATGTATTCTTCCATTTTAATGTGCACCAAACGAGCTCTTACTACATTAATTAATTTAAAATTCTTTAAATGTCTCTACCTCTCTATCAATATGCGTATATGTCTTTATTATTTAATATTTAAATCTTAATGAGATCGCGTGTATGGAAGACTTAAAATGAAGAAAAATGCTCCAAGTACATGAGCATATTTTACAGGGGCCTGCCAGGTTACTCACACTGGCGGGCCCCACATTACTCACACTGGCGGGCCCCACATGTTTTTAAAAAATGGAAAAAAAAATGCACCCCTCCATATAAAGGCTACTTGTTTTTGGGCCTAATATAAATTGCATTGGTGACAGTCTTTCTCAAGTTAAGCGTGGACAACTGCAAATGAAATCCTTTCTACAAGAAGGGGGTTGAAAGAATAAATAAATCACAATACTTCTCGAAAAGCATCACTTATCTCGATCTCTACATCTATCAATCAAATCAGAAGATGTTCAAAATTATGAGTTATATCTTTTCTGTTAAAACACTAATCTTAACATCCACGATCAAGTATTTCGATTATCCAACCGCATAAGTATTAAATTATTGCGATTAGATTAAACACTTACCCTAGCAAATGAATTTTTAATTGAAGATGGCATGTAAATCTGATTTTTTATTAAAACACCTAAGTCTGATTTGACTCTTCAAATTTAGAGAGTCAAATTCACTCTCTATAATTAAATACATTCAAAATATTTTAATTTTCAATTGAAGAAAAATAAAATAATAATTTGGAGGGAAGCTAGTAAAAATAAAATATAAGAAAAAATAATAAATATTTTTTTAGAGTAGTAAAATTAAGTGTTAAATATAAAGAGTCCGTCGGAGCACTTAAAAATTTTACCTTCTAAATTGATAGATATTCTCTAAATTGTTGAATATGCTCTTTAAAATAAGAATTAAGTTGGAAGTTATAATATTTCAATACGAAAAGCATAAGTTTAAATCAACATAAACTATACTACTTTACGAGACTTGTAATAAAGATGCAACTATATTACCCTCATTTCTAAAATGCCACTGTTTTTAGTAATTTTTAATAAATAAATTGATGAAATATGTTGTCGAAAAGTTGTGAGATCCGTAAAATGTTGTTGCTCGTTGAATTGGGGAAGCTAAACTTAGGGGAATGGCACTTGGAATTCGTGAAGGGTTATGGCTAAAGTTTCTACTACAAGACTTGGGATATTCACCAAATAAACCAATTCAATTATACTGTGATAACAAGTCAGCACATGACATGGCGTATAATCCTATTCATCATGATCGAACAAAAATAGATTTTTCATCAAAGAGAAATTGGAGGAGAAGATTTTGGAACTACCAAATATTCAATCAGAAGCACCCTTCGTAATCACCAATTCATTAAATCAAATTATAATATACAATTTTTCGACTCTTTCAACTTTCTTCTGATTTCAAGAAGTTCAATTCCTCTCATGGGAATAGATTTTGTATCATTACCTAAATTGATCGAAAGCATGGTTATCAGTTCTCATAAACAAGAAGATTGTTTTTTCCGACATTTTTCATGTTTGGTAATCAATATTCAATAAAACTGAAAAGTACAAGCTACGGTTAACAATATTTGAACTTATTTTCCTCTTAATATACTGAAAGTATTGTGCAACGTTATTCATAGGGATAACAAAAAAGCTCGTCGGCTAGGGCGACTCGGGCTCGGTTCCGCCAAGCCAAGGTTTGGGCCGAGCCCCATTTTGGGGGCGTCTGCTCTAGCCCAGCCCGGCCCGGCCTGTGGCTAGTCACCAACTCGTGACTAAATAATAAAAAAAAATTAGTTTAAATGTTTTTTTATATATTAATATTTAGTTATTATTTATAACACGCATAAATTGCACAAATTTTAAATACGTTATAAAAAATTATAGATTTATAGTGAATTAAAAAAAAAAAACGAGCCGGCTTGGCCCGCTAAGGCTCGAGCCGAAAGCTCGGGCGGAGCCTCATTTTTTTGGTCGAGTCTTTGCTCTGCTCGGCTCGAGCCAAAAAAAGTTTGGACATATTTTGTTCGAGCCGAGCCCGAGCTTTGAGTTTCGGCTCGTGACTCGGCTCATTGACATGACTAGTTATTCACCAAACGTCCCATTGAGTTGTTAATTAATGAAAAATAAGAAGCTGATGATCGATGAACATGGGCTGCAAAAAGTAGCAGAAAGTATGCTGCCATAAATGATTTCTACATCCACTTTTTACAAAATTCATCACTTATAATTGTGAACCTAATCTTGCTTCTAACTCTTTGCTTGGCGGCATAAAGCTGAAACATTAGATTAATAATTCCTCTTTAATCCCCATGTAGGAAAGAAATGATGGCATAATGTTGGGGTTCGAATCTTTTTCACAAAAGAAAAATGGACTTTGTTTTTATAAATGTATTACTTGATTTCGAAGATAAAATATAAATAAATAAAGTTCTTCCATTTTTAAAATTAAACGGGAGTTTTTGAATAATTTTCCTTTTGTTGATGTTTCGCAAGTATCATAATCATCTTCTTCTTCACCCTACCTGATATTGTGAAGACGTAACGAAGTCGAAGAATATTGTGAAGAAAACTATAAATTCGAGTATAGTTTTTTTAACTTTGACAAAGAAAAATGATTCTTAAAAAAAAAAAAAAAAAAAATTCATTAGTAACTTTTAAATGACATAACTAAAATGGCGTTAAAAAAGCGAAATATCTTGTTTTTGTGTTTGCATAAAAAGTTCGATTAATGAATAGCAAGTTCGAGTTGTCGATCGAGATTAATCGAGTAAAACAAGTTAAAAATAAAATATAAATAAATAAACTCCTTTCCTTTCGGTCAAAAATGTTACACTGTGGATTTCCTATAAATACTTGACAAATATATCGATCACCACATTACGTACACACCCTCCTCCTGCCTATAAGAAAACGAAACCAGTTCTCTCAACAAACTACATCTTACGTAGGCAGCCTCGAATATTTTGAAGCTTCACCAAAATCCTAATTCTTCTTTTTCTTCTTTGTGCAACGATGAACATTCAAACATGGAACAAGTCGTCGCGCAGCAAAAGCGTCCGATTAGGCCAGACTTATGTGCAGAGAGAATACGATTCTCCCTCGAAATGGCTCGTGTTTTGGAGGAGAATCACAAAACAGAAGAAGAAGAAGAATAAGAATTCAAACTCCACATTTTATGATCCTTATACGTACACGCAGAATTTTG